TACTGCTGCTTGGGAAATGCCTTTGGAAAGGGTCCTCTTGGTCAGGAGCATGTGTATATTTTTTCTTTTCCTTTTAATGAGATCATAGAGCCCGAAGGGTTATTTCATGGCATTTAGCTGAACTATTGGCCTGCAGTGAGCTAGACTGCTTGATCCTTTGCCTTTTCTGTTTGGAGTCCAACTCCTTTCTGCTGGGTTCAGTTGATTTTGTTCTCTTCCTTTTTTTTCTTTCTTCTAACTACTTTCAGTTTGTGATCTTTATACCACTATAGGAATACAATTTGTCCAAAAATTGTATTCCTATAGTGGTATCTTCAAATTGACCATATTTTTAAACTTTCCTCAGGGCTGCTAGAAACCCAATAGCACTGTGAAAATACAAGTGAACCAGAAAGTGAAACTTAAACATGTTTCTCTGTCATAGTCTTTGATATTAGTGTCGGATAGGTTCTGAAATTCATCTTTGTCTGTGCCAAAGAGCGCTGTTGGTCTGGAATGCTGTGTTTGTGGGGGGATGGACATTTTAAATGTCGTCATTAGCTGGTTAACTGTGTTTTATTCAAACCATTTTCTCCCCAGCTGTGAATGTTAAAACAGCAGAGATTTTCCATGCAACTTTTCCAGATAAGGGACCAGATGAGGATTTGCGTTCAGCCCGTATGTTAACAGGATCACCAGTGAGTGAAAACAAATATATATTGGTGGGGGGAGGGGAGAACAACTCTTAAGAGAAAAATACTCCTGATATTTTGTCTGTGGCAGAAACTAATAGTTACTCCTTAAGGAGAAATTACTCTTCTTATGATAAAATACTGCCAGTTTGTGGTTGTGTAATCAGAGACAAACACTGGACATACCAGCCAATATCTGTACTACAACAGCTGCTGGTACCTGATGGAAAACTTCAACAAGTATTCTATTTGGAAACAAGGACAGACTTCAGTATTTGTATTACAGTAGCTCCTGGAGGCCTCAGCTGAGATCAGAGTACCACTGTGCTAGATGCTGGACAGTCAGTCCCTGGCAGAGGAAGGGTGAGAGAGGGGTAGTGGTGTTAATCCAATTTTACAGACCTGGAATTGAGGTACAGAGACTAACTAACTTGCCTAAGTCACACAGGAAGTCTGTGCCAGAGCTGGGTATTGAACCCAGCTCTCTTTGGTCCACATGATCTGTCAGACGCAGGTGTGCTACATAAAGACACTGCTTTCGTCCAAAGGCTAACGACTTCAGTAAGAAGACACTTGCACAAGGAAGTACTTGCAGGCTCTTGACCCATGTCTACTAAACTATAACAGGGGAACACCCTCCACTGTCCCCAGGATCATGGTGTAGAAGCAGCTGGAATATCTGTGAGTTTAAGGTTTGCCACTTAAGATCTTGAGCCCAAAATTCTGGCACAAAAAGGCTATTTAGCCTCTTGTATGAGTGCAGAGCAGCTGTTTTGTCCAATTGTTTGGTTAATTCAGGGCAGAGTAGGGAGGGAGAGTTGTGTGTGTAGCAGCATTGCAGGGTGGACAAGGGAGCTGAAACAAGACAAACAGTGAAGGAGAGGTAGATGGCTGAACAGGACAGGAGCAGGGGACACTGAAGAATAGTCTGTTGGCCTAGGACAGGAGCTGCAGTTTGTGGCATATCAAAGGGTGGGGGAAGTAGCTGTGGAGCCAGCTCTAAGCTCATTCCCCTTCACGGCATGGTGGGTTCAGTTCACTTACTGCTGCTCAATTTCAATAGGGAAACCCTCAAAGTCTGTTCCCTGTTACAGATGACTAATATTTATGATGCAAAGAGAGAGCAACTCCACATTGGACCTTACTTCTGGATGCCTTTCCCACACGTGGACTTCTGGTTGGAGCAGGATGATAAACAGATATTACAGGTAACTGAAGTTACAAAAATGTGACAAAAATGTGTTTTGTGCTAGCATTCCGTCAGCCCTGATGGCTTTTCTGTGCAGTGCTGAAAGGGGGGTGCATTTTGTCTAGGCCAGAAATTAAAGCTAGAGGCACCAGTAGCCATCTAATGTTCTTATCCATCTGGTTTGAAATAGCTCATGACACATCTTGTTTTTCAGAATCTTTCCACATCGCCTCTGGCTGAACCACCCCACTTTGTTTCCCACCTTAGATCCACATTGCTATTTTTAAAAGAGCATCCATTTCCCAATGACTCCCTGTTTCCTAACAGGAAACCTCGACTTTATAAAAAGACTGAAGAAGGTTTATGGGAGAGACTGTTTTGAAACGATTTAACGTTGAGGCAAACACTGGAGGACACGCTTTGGGAAAGCACAGCCTTGCCAAAAATGTGGCTACTTTGCTGCAAAGAGCATCTTTCTGAATCCATGTTAGTCAAATTCCCTGCTGGCCCTGAGATCAGACTAGCCTTGTTTAAGGCTTTTCAAAATAATATTTTGGCAGAGGTGCATGTGTTTGCCCTGTTACTTACATAAGGGAGTGAATGTTTAGTAGTAAAGTCAATATTTTCTTGTTTTCAGATGTGCCCTTCCCCATTTTTACTTTTGGTGCTAATCAGTTGTATATTAAGGCCTTCTGCAAAATCTACCTAGAGAGAGATTTAATATGCACTTGCCCTTTCAAAAGTGCTTTTTCAAGCTGGGACTAAGTGTTCCCTTAAATACAATTTAAAGTATAACATGCATACAAACTTATTCGTTGGTAATTGGGTTTTTTGAGAGAGATTTATTTTAAACAGCCAAACGTTAAGTCCTTGACTGAATAAATAAAGAGTAAGTTTTGGTGATACAGATGAGATTTTTCACTAGTTGGCTGGGGGTTTTTCTATACTGAACGATATAATCATTAACCCTGCAGGAATGATTGCTGAGCATAAGCCTTGAAAGCATATTTGTTAAACAGTGCCATTTTACCACTGCTGTTGAAGTAAGTGTGTATGATTCAGTACAGCTCTTCAATTCTAAAAATGTCTAGAATAATAAATCTTTATATTTACTAATAAACTGGAGATGTCACTAAACTTTGTCACTGGGCATCTTCTGTTAAAATAAACATTAAACTCAACTTTTCACCATTTGGGTTGTTTGCTTACTTTTTGCATTTCTCTGAAGCTTGGACAATGGAAATAAAATAGCTAAAGGTGCTCACTCCCCACTACATTGTTTGGGGTGCAGAGACTACAGGAAAAGATGTAACGTCACATGCTGTGGGTGGAGTTTAAGAACATTCATGGAAATATTTCGGCTACTCTGATTGCTATTTTTTTTTAAACACCTCTTTAAACCCTACCCAGACCTTGATACTTTTTTACATTAAGAAGCTACATGGAAGATGTCATGAAATACTTGAGGTTTGTCCCCTCTGTTTTGTGGTTACATATGTACATCCCTGCACTATGAAAACTTGACAGTTTGGTTATTCTGAAACTGTGGCAATTTTTGATAAGCAAATCGGTTTTAGTTGTCTATAATGACTACCTTCTACAACTCAAACTGTGAGACACTTAACAGCAGCTTTATATAAAGTGTATTGTGCTTTAAAAGCCCTAATAAGTTTTCAGTGTTGTAGATAATCTTGTTTCACAGGACTAAAACCATAGGTAAAGGATCACAAAATACAGTAAGTTATGGATTTCAGGTGAATTGTGTAGTTATTCATCTCTCAAATATTGTTTCATTTTCTTTTTGTACATCCACCTGTGAAGTCAGGGCAATGCTGAATTTGCTAATTACAACTTCACTAAACCATTCCAGTAGAATAATGAGGCCTATAATTCCATGTCCAGTAAGAAGAGTGGATTCACTGCTTGCAGTGCCAGGCATGGCATAGCAGCACTTGTCATCTAGTGCCCTTTGGTTAGGCCCTGGAGTGATCTCTCTTCTTGTCACTTGGCCCTCTGGCCAATCAGTATCCCACACAACATTGGTCATCAGCCTGCCATTTTCTCCCCTCCAGAGCTCCTCTTTTGTTCCACTGTATGAGTATAGTGGCCCCAGGGCTTCTCTCAGGAGTCTTTTAACCAAACTCAAAAGCAACTTCTGTCCTGCCCTGGGCCCTCCCCACACTAATGCTGAGTCTCGGGCTTCCTTCCTCGAGCCTTGTCGGAGCCTTGAGTGAACTGGAAGTAGCAACAGTTGAAACACAGAGGCTGTGCAATATATGGATAGAGATTGTAGTAGAGGTGTTTGACACTCCAGTTTTTCTTTGGTACCTAGAACCACCACCCCCATCAGTCAAACACCTGTTTTCATAAACTACAGCACAGATTTTAGTGCAACTTTCTTCAACGGTAATTGAATTATCAGATACTGTAATTTGAAGAATCTTTATTGAAACATTCGGGTAATATCTAAAGTATGTAGCTCTAGTCCAACAAAACCACTAGTTCAGCAATTCCAAATATAAAAATATTAAATTAATTTTTGATTTTGCCCCCCACAAATATACCCATGTTAATGTACTTCATTACCAAATAAACTAATAAGGAAGACTAGTTGACTTAATTGTTTTTGTACTTAAGAAAAATTGCACTCTGTTTTATGAGAAATATCTGAAATTATAAACAAAGTTTGACTTAATATACTTTAACTACAGCTCCCCAGCCCCAGAGAATCAAAAACTGAAAAGTTGACAGTACATATAAAACAACAACAAATCCTTAAAATATCACAATGCTATCCAATCCTGTTACCACTAGAGCCGCCATGATGACCTACACAAGGTAGTAATTTACGCACATCCTATTTATGAAAAGGAAATACTGGTGATAGTGTTAAGTCAATTTTGTAGGGCTGGATCCATTTTTTTTTAGTGTATCTGTTTTGCTTCTACACTGTAAAGTCAGTTTCTGCCGGTGAAAATACTTCTGAACATTAAACTTGTCTAATATCACACGTTAACAGATTATAAAGAAGCTATGTGCTGTAGTGTATGTAACCTATAATTTCTTCAATATGTACAATATCTACTAAAAGTTAGTTATGTTACTCAAAAATCAGAATAGTGTAGAAACCATCACTAACATGACTTTTTCAAGCTTTAGTAACAAGTATCTTTAAAAATACATAACCAAAAAGAGTCCAGTAACTCTGTTCATAGGACCTGGTTATAGAGGGTGTGCAGCAGTAAATAAGGATAGATCTGTGTCATGCAGAGGCACTATTACTTTCTAAAAGGGTTAACAGAAGCCCTGTAAGATTAAGGAGCTTAACAAGTGGGCCAATTCATACAACAGCAAAAAAAAAAAAAAAAGTTGATGGCAAAGTAGTATTTACATATTCATAATATACACACGTGTACATCCCTGTCATTCATTGCACCGCAACTGCTTGACGACCTTTTTAGTAAGAGGCAATGGATTTCTAATGAACATTAGGGATTAAAAAAGCAATGAGATGATGTGCACTACAGCTAGCATGACTACCTACATTATTGTGCTTTTGTTTTTTTAAGATTAAACTGATTTAAAATATAAAGGTGAGCAACTGGCAGGTTTATTGAATATTTTTAAATTAGGCCCACTTTACAAATATCACCAGGTGCATGCTTAACCTTAATTCAAATGTATGATCAACTCATTAAGCGCTATAATGCCACCTGGATTCATACAATAACTGTCACTCTTTTGCCAAAAAATATTCCTTCAGGCAAATGTTTATAAGCCATTAAAATAAATCAGGTATTTTAATATCACTTTGGAGAGAATGTATATAGGGTTGAAACAATTGTCATAAGTGTACAATAAAACAAGTTAACTGGCCCTAGGGGAAAAAGCTTTGTTTTTAACTTGCTTTTGTGCAAAATCCCTGTTAACTGTGAATTACAGTAGTAGTTACTGTACTAACGTGTGGCACTGTTCACATTTTGAATACATCATAAATTTCCCTGCCGTACAGGGAATGTGGTTATTATACAAAGTCTTCATTCACAAAATCTGGATTTTATCTTAGACTTTCTTGTTCCTCTACTTTAGTGCAGTCATTTCCTGATCGTTGTGATTTGTCACTTTGCAGGTCTTCAGTTTTGTCATTTGTTACCTGTACGATCTCATTCTGCTGCTCCGCTTTCTCTGTCTCCACAGTCCCTTGCTCTTGTACAGTAGACACAGAATGGGAGAGTTGCTCCATCTTTTCCAAGTCATCAGTATGACTAACTGAACTGGTCTCACTAAATCCATCAGAGCTTCTTAAAGATCTTTTAAAAAGCTTTTGACCTGTGGAAATGTTTAATGAATATAGCATTAGAAGGCAGTAAATGCACAGACTAATCAATACAAACTATAAGCCACATTTTAAAAAGCTGGCCTCTATTTTTAAAGCCGTGGATGCAATTTAGCACCAGCATTTAAGTTCATTTAGATATACAAGCACAGATGTGTAACTGATGTAATCTGCACCAGTAAACAGTAACCCAGCTAAGGCTTGGCTGGATAAAGTGACTGTCAGTAAAAAGAGCAAAAGCCCAGGGACACATTACTTGATAAAACTGTTTTGGATGGGTAAATTACTACAACAGGTCACTGTGCCCCAAAGGATTAATGACCAACTAGAGAACCTGACAGTCCAAACTAAAGTCAAACTTAAATCTGACCAGAGGAAAAAGGACACGACTGTCAGTATCGCTTTGCCAGCCTAGATTTGGCTAATCAACTCATTTACACAGTGAAAGGAAAAAAGCTCATCTTGCCTCTCCTGAGCTGCTGTTGTGAGATTTCATCAGGGGTGAAAGTAAGTCCAGTGACTTAGCAGTACGCTGGGGCCAGCTGTGGCCCCCGGAAGGGGCGGGGCCTAGGGCAGAAGGGGCATGGCTGAGGGAGACAGAGCCAGCCCCAGCCCACCCTGTAAGGTAAGAGCCCCCCCACCCCGGGGTAGCAGCAGCAGCAGCCTGGGGCTCTGGGGGGCTATTTAAAGGGCCCGGGGCTCGCCTGCTTCTACCGCCCCGGCCCTGTAAATAGCCGCAGGAGCCCTAGGAAGCAGTGGGGCTCCCGCGGCTATTTAAAGGACCAGGGCAGCAGAGGCAGCTGGAGCCCCGGGCCCTTTAAATAGCCCCTGGAGCCCCCCGCTGCCCCTGGGCTCTGGGGGCTATTTAAAAAGTCCGGGGCCCCTGCTGCTTCTATGCCCCGGCCCTTTAAATAGCCGCCAGAGGCCCATCGCCACTACTTCAGGGCTCCGGCAGCTATTTAAAGGGCCGGGCCGGTAGAAGCAGCGGGAGCCCTGGACCTTTTAAATAGCTCACAGAGCCCTGCTGCCCTACCCCAGGGCTCCAGCAGTGGGGCTCTGGTGGCAATTTAAAGGGCCTGGGGCTCCAGCCCCTGCTGGGAGCCCCAGGGGAAGCCGGGCCGCCCTGGTACGGCAAACCGGCTCTTGCCACTACGCCATACCGGGGTGTACCGGCTTACTTTCACCTCTGGATTTCATACTAAGATAACATTACTTCCACAAAATACCACGTTTGTGTAGCACAGCAAAAAAAAAAAAAAAAAAAAAAAAACTGCAGTGGCCAAAATAAATAAAATACATTGTCCTTGTTTTTTTGCGGTTGTGGGTTTGTTTTCTTGCTAATTTGCAAACTTCAGTAACCCTCAGTGTGAACTAGAGAATTTACAATTCTACAATATTTTCCAGAGGAAAAAGCCCTGTGGTCAGAGGTAGTTATTGCTGTTTAGAAGGATAGCTACCTCCCCTGCAGTCCCAGGATTTATTCCTTCAGAGCACAATGGGGGTGGGAAAAGATGGATCTGAATAGTGCTCCATGGAATGTTTAGCCCCATTCTGGGTCTTTTTGACTGCTGCACTGGTCATTTAAAATCAACAGGAGGACAGGTACAATTACAAGACTAGTGCTCTAGTTTGACGTGATCAGGAAAGTAATGTACAGTAACTCCTCACTTAAAGTCATTCTGGTTAATGTTGTTTCGTTGCTGATCAATTAGAGAACATGCTTGTTTAAAGTTGTGCAATGCTCCCTTATAACGTTGTTTGGCAGCCGCCTGCTTCGTCCACTGCTTGCAAAAAGAGCAGCCCGTTGGAGATAGCTGGTGGGGGCTTGGAACCAGAATGGACCAGCAGCCCCCGATCAGCTCCCTGCTCCCCTAAGTTCCCTGTGCAGCAGCTGCCCGGCAGGCTATTAATTGCCTGCAGTTCAGCTGTCCCCACTGCCACGTGCTGCTTCTGCCCTCTGCCTTGGAGCTGCTTCCTGGTGTGTGTGTGTGTGTGTGGGTGTGGGTGTGCGCGCACGCGCGCTAATGTCAGGGTGTCCTCCTCCCCTCTGCTCACCCCATCTCCATAGAGACATGGGAGGAAGCGTTCTGGGAACAGCAGCCGTCTCAACTTGCTGATCTACTTAAAAAGGCAATGTATTTAGAGGGGGGTCAGTGTACTTAAAGGGGCAATGCGCGTCTCTCTGTCTCTGTTTGCTGTCTTGCCTTGTAGAGTGTGAGGCTACATTAACAACAATGGGTTAACCCTTGAGAGCTCAGCCGAATGCTAGTTCATCATTGAGCAGCAAGGCATTCCCTGGGAAATATCCCACCCTCTGACTCCACCACCTCAACCAAGCCTCACAATCAGCATTGCTGTGTACAGTATTAAATTGTTTGTTTAAATATATATAAAAATATATAGTCTTTTGTCTGGTGAAAAAAATTTCCCTGGAGCCTAACCCCCCCATTTACATTAATTCTTATGGGGAAATTGGATTTGCTTAACTTCGTTTTGCTTAAAGTCACATTTTTCAGGAACATAACTACAATGTTAAGAAACGAGTTACTGTATGTGGAGACGAAAAAGCAAAACTCACTCTGATTAGGCAATAAAACTCCATTATGTACTAATTAGCTTTTTGAACAAAGCAGAGTGTTCTTTAGTGTCAAACTGCACATTTATTAAAATTAATTGGAGGAAACTTACCAGGAAGTCTTTGTTTAATGCGATTGGGAGTCGGAGTCGGGGGTGGGGTAGTCCCAGTCCCCTGCGCTTTTGATACATATGTGGGTTCTGTGGACTCTAGAGAGCCTGCCAATGGAGGGAAAAAAGTCTTTAAAGAGACAGTTTTATTGACACCACTAAATAATATTAGAACCAGGTAACATGTTAACTAAGTACACATTTTTTAAACTTTTCTGGTGCTCTATATTTAACTCACTCTCCTGCCTGTCCCCAAGCAAGTATTAAGGCCCAGATCATCAAAGGTATTTAGGTGCCTGACTCCGGTTGAGAATCTGGGCCTAAGCCCCCTTTCTGAAGCTGTACTTGCCAACTCCCCATAAATCTGTGCCATTCTAATCACAAACAGAATATACTATGCTTCAGGTACAGAAAGGGACATGAACTATTGCATACAGATTCTCAAAATAATCAAATGACTGGCACCCACTTTATAACTTCTACCATAGTGAACATTCTCCTTTCCCTCCACCGCTGGAAACTTGATACAGCCTCAGCTTCAAACTTCCTTTCAAGTCCCTGTGAGCACAGCACTTTAAAAGAACATTTGATCAGAAAGAGGATAAATCCTTCTCAGGCAAATCTTGCCTTTTTCTGCCAAAGGAATCTTCCATTCTGTGCTTCAACCACTGTGGGAGAAGTGAAGCAACTCAGTGAACATGCTTCCCCCACCCTCCTAGCTTAAAAATAAATATAAGGCTGGCCTGACATATATATATAAATATAAGGCTGCTCGCAGGCCTCTGCTACCACATTCTCAGCCTCCCCTAGTCTGAGAACTTACAGTCTCAGGGAAAACTAGGCTAGTACTTACTCCAGAATGACTTGCATGAGGTACAAGTGGAATCCAACTAGGATAATTTTTCCATTCACTCTTTTACACTGCCATGGATTCCCTCCACATAGGCATGTTCACACTATACCCACCATAGTCAAGAGCTAGTCCCGATTCAGTTCTAACCTGCTGTTCCCAGACTAATAATGTCTTACTGTGCAGACTAGTGAAGGTTGGGAACATGACAGGTCAGAGGATACCTGAACCAAGAACTCAAATAGAAAAATTAGTTTAGTTACAGCATGCAGGTCAATTTAGTGCCACCATAATATATAATGTTCACTATGTACACATACATATAGATATATCGTGCTTGTATATATTACACACTTGGAGGAATGATCTTATGACACTATTAAGTGCTCCCCATCCTGCTGTTTTTTGTACAAGAAGTTCAAGCAGAAATCCAATTTTCCAACGTACACATCTGGAATTCGCACAGATGAATTGAAGAGCCCTTTCTAGTAATATAGTGGCGGGAACAACAGTCAAATCCAGCAACTCGCTTTAATTTGACTTGAGAATTGTTAAGTATTGAGATTTAAAGGGAACTGGACAGATGGTGGCAGCAGATATTTTCTTATTCAGTGTTTGACAAGGGGTGGGTAAACAATGTTCCTTTAGATTTTAAGAGTTCCTTTTTAATCACAAAATTTGGACGTCTTATAAATCAGTTAACAAGAAATCTCCATAACATTGTAAAAGTTTCCACATTTTACAGAATTATTGCTAATGTACTATTGCTGCAGATGTATTTATTCCTACCTGCTGTTAAGTTAAATGTTCTTCCCTTTGGTGATGCTTGAAATGGAGAAAACCAGTTCAGCACAGAGCCAACTACAGGAATCTGTCGTAGCAGGCCCTGTAAAACATGCCGTTAAAAGATCATTCTAGCGAATGACCCATCTAAGTGTTACAGAGTTATGTGATGTAGATAACAGATTATTTTGGAATTCTTACCTCTTCAAGAAGTCTTTCTTCATTTGCTTTCTGAAGCTGAACCTGCGCTTCCTGTATCCCCTTTCTAACGACTTCAGTCATGTTTTCCAGCAGCTAATTAAAAATGGAAGAGCATGCATTACTGCACTTAAACTGGCTTCTTGGTCCCTTACATGAAGATTAAATTTAAATGGGGACATTTGTGCATTTTTTTAAATTAGGTCAGTAGTTGACTAATGCCATTTATTTAATACTATAAATAGACAACTATAGATTGAGAGTAGCTTTTTTTTACATGGATCTTGTAACACATTTAATTGCAAGGGCATGAATTTCTCTTGCTTAGATGTAGGCTACTCACCTCTAGCCAGAGTTCTTTGAGTGTCCTCTATATATTCACACTCATGAATATGCCAGTGGTGCAGCTGTGCTGATGGAACCTTTTGATTGCAGTGCTTGTTGTAATGCTATTGCACCCTCACCTCACCTATCTCCTCCTCTCACTGTTCCTGAACTTTCTGAGAGCCCCAGCTCAAATAGGGAGCATCGGTGAAGGATATGATTTTGGATAGATTTTGTTCTGGCAACACTTTGATTTAACAGTCATCCAAGTACAGGTATATGTGGATCTCTTGTCTCCAAAAATGTGCTGCCACCTCCCTGAGGCACTTTGTAAAAACTGGGGGGCAGTAGAACAGCTGAAGGGAGGGACTCTGATTTGAAAATAATTCTCCTCTACTAGGAAGCAAAGATATTGGCAGTGTAATGATCTGATTGAAATAGACTTCAAATTGAGAACAGCATACCAACCTTGTATAGAGAGGGAAGGTATTATAGATGCCAGTTTAAAGATATAGAATCAGAACTTCCTGATAAAGGAGTTGAGTTTTTTCAGGTCTAATATAGGTCAAAGACGCAGCAGTGTGGGGATCTGAAGAAGCCTTCCTTTTCTTTTCAGAGTCCTTATTGCTCCCTTCCAGATTTGACCCAAGTTGAGGTTGTGGCTCCACATGACAGATCTTAGCTACCACTGTCATGGTCAGTTACTGAGGAAGTTCAGAATGGAGAATTGAACCCAGTCTATCAGCAATGACAGCTGTTTGCTTCGTTAGACTGGGACATGCCTAACCTCTGCTCAGCACCAACAAGCTAAGGGCACATGGGAGTCAGTGTTTGGATCCCCTTACCACAGTATGCTAAGTGTCCAACTGGGGAGCTCAACCAGATCTGTGATAGACTGCTCTAGACACATCCACTGACTCCCGAGGCTCTGCTGATAGAGTCCTTCTTTGCACCCTGAGTCCCGCCCCCCCCCCCCAAGTTCCTGGTTCCAAGGAAGGTGTCACTCCTGCAGATTGGCTCAGTGAGCAGAGCCAATCACCAACAGGTTATTTCCGCTTTTCAGTTTCAGATCCAATGGATCAGGATCCTTTTTAGGTACCAGAGATTTCTTGGAGATCTGAACTGAAGATGGCATCTTATGGAGAGGTCTCTGCTGCCTCTTTTCTCAAGTAGTATTAGGGTCCGTTTGCTTGCTCACAAATGTGTACAATATCCAGAGGGCTTGTCTGTCAAAGCCTCCTGCCAGCAGGACCATTTGCAGTCTGTTCTTCCCATACTCTTGGGGTGAAAGCACTTCAGATTGAACCGCTGAGGGACAATGTCCCTCCCTGACAGGCATCTCATAAGCATCAAATGCAGGGCAAAAGGTGCACTTCTTAATAGCTGATCTCTATTAAGATCATGAAGCTGATCTTCATAACCACCATTGGATTCTAATAGTGGAACCAAAGATGAACTAACAACTACTTAGAACATTTAATATTTCCTTTTAAAAAAACTCCTAACCCTTAAAATGCTAACACAAGAAAAGTAATCTAAATTTATGCTTAGCATAATGGGCACTATTCAAGCACGGGATTCAGGCTAAGAGTCCAAATGCAGTTCCTGATCCATCCACTGCAGCAATTAGAAGGAACTGAGGTGGCTAGAGAGCCAAGATCCTCTTTTATAGTCTCAGGAACAGTGAGGGAAGGAACAGGAGAGGTGCAATAGCACTCCACCAGGCACTGCTATCAATGGTTCCACAGGCACAGCTACATAATCAGCACATCCCCAGGAGTGGGAATATTCAGAGTACACTTGAACAAGGATTTATTCTGTGGGTGCAGTGTTGTTCAAATAACCACCACTTTCCTTTTTACTGAAGGTTTTGTTATGACAACTTCAATAGGCCAGATATTAACCAAAGCTTCTCAGGTAATCCTGTATCAGCACCAACGTTTTTACTAGCAATAAAGACACTGTAAATCCAGTTTCCAAGCTGTTGATTTAACAAATAAAATGAATGGAAAACATTAAGTGGCAGATTTTCAAGCTGGTGTGTTGGCATAGTTTCACTGAATTCAATGGAACAATTTACACCAGTTGATGATCTGCCCCAGATCATTCAAAAAGGGAAATTTTTTTCTGATGGCTTAAACCATTATGGAAACCGTACAGTCACTGAGTTTGCCTATTTCCGCACTAGAAAAGTGTCTAATGCTGGCAGAAGAGTTATAAACACAAAAATGTAAACCTAAACCAAAGTATCATGAGAGAGTCATAATACTGTGAAGTTCTCTCACCATGTAGATGCAAATCACTATATAGCTAAATACGTGCAATTTTCTTTCACATCAAAGAATAAGAAGTTGCCCTGAAACCAGTTTGGAGAAAACTAATGCTAAAACATTTTGTAAATTTTGAAAATAGGAAAGATTTCAATACATACTCTAGAATTTTCTTCAATTTCTCTGCCTGTTGCTGCAATAGTTTCTACCAGCTCGGACACATCCAGATCTTCAGTTACCGTGCCGATATATACACAGTTCTTCTCCCCTCCAAATTCCGGGCCTGTGAACAGAATGGAGATTCCATATTTTTACACTTTTGCAGCAAAATCTAAGTGCCTCTTTAACAAGGTTTAAAATTACAAAACATAATAGATTGTGTAGTTAGTAAAAAGAGAAAAATATTTAGCTTCATAGAGGAAGATAACCTTTCAACAGGCACCCTACTCACACTTATGTGCCAGGGAATCCAACCATATTTTTGTTTTAGTACTTAAGTGTAATCTTTGCATATGCCCAATTCACTGAAAGTACTTGGCATTGCACTTCTTCAAAGAGGAAAAACATAACTAAGTTTAGACAGGAAGTAATACAGTAGATATTTTATATAACTGTGTGCTTATAAGAAGCAGCAACATTAAAAGCTGCATGAAACCACTGATTGTGAAAAACAGAGCATTTAAGCAGCTGAGTTTTCTATTCCAAAAGCTGTGGTGTTCTGAGGGATGCCACTAGGCCCTTTCTTCCCCCTACTGTTGAACACGGATGGGTTAATGAGGCATTTTTACAACGAATACTGTATATACACACTTAAATAGCACATTATTGTACCTTCTAAAGAGCCACATTATTCTGGGACATCTTTCAACAGCATGGATCCATAACTCTGACACATTTAAACTTATTCTTAGAGATGAATATGGAAGATTAGAACTCTCGAATAGAAAAGTCATGCTATATTAGCACTGCCTTAAGTAGAGGTAACAGCAACACTTACTGATTTTCATCTTCAAAGCAGTCTATAATCATTGATCCTTACAACACTTGTGTAGTAGGCATTATAATTCTCATTTTACAGATGGAAAAAAACAACAACAAATGTATGTAGGTTAAGTGGCTTCCACAAAGCCAAAGGCATCATTAGCATGATAAAAAAATAGTTTTGCCTAAGGTCTGCAGGATTGGGGGGTTTTAAAACTGTCAAAGATCTGGAAGACAGAAATTCCTGAGTTCATGTCTTGGAGCGGTCACTTAACCTCAGTATGAGGGAAATTAAAATACCCACCTCATAGGGATGGTTACTGAATTATGTTTACATAGTTCTTAGGAAATTAAGAGCTCTAAGGGCATGATCCTATGAAGTGGTGAGCACCTCCTCCAAGGTCTGGCTCATCTTCAACTCCCACTAAAATCAATAAGACTAGACACCTGTTGATTAGCACCTCTTGAGATTTGGCCCTTAGTGCTATTATTATCATTACTAACTCATGGCAAAACCATCTAAAAATGTTCACTTGCTATATTTTTAATGTTCCCATTTCACCTTTGAGAGAAAGCTGAAATGCAGCAGCTGTAGGTATGCTCTTGAGTACTGTGTGTAGTCTTTTTAAAGCAGAAGTAGCACTGAGAGGACCAGGCAAGGTTCACCTGGAAATTCCATGTGTGCACAGAGGCCATTGTATAAGTTTATGCAGAATCTCATGTTTCACTGATTTTATATCACTCTAGTGGGGTTTTAGACAACTGTTTCTTTAAGCACATTCACACATGACATCTAGGCCATTTGCTTTTTAAAAATTAAAAATGAGTGGCTTTATTAATTAGTTACAGTAAGACTGGAAACCACTAATGTAGGAATGTGTTGCATTTTGATACCATTTCGAGGACAAACAAAACACATTGTAAGACATTAATTTACTCATGCAATAGAGTGGTTAAAATGTAACTGAGTGTTTCAGTTATATATTATAGCCAGAGTCACCTAAAACATCTAACCTAGTCACAGAATGCAGTAAGCAGCCCAGTTTGAGATTGAGTTCCTGCTTCAATTAGGTACAATACGAGGCAGACACCCCTCCAATTTGGCACATATTATAACACACCCGGTGGTGGGTAATTCACTTGCACAATCAACTTATAGCTGAGAATGCAGTACTGGTATTAATGATCATTAAGTCCAACATGTTTATGACTGGATGCTTTTCTTGTCTAGCATATGCCACCTCTGTAACAATCAGAAATAGACTTAGGGTTGGGGGACCACCGGTAAGCACTGCATAAAGAAATGTTCTTTGCTGTTCCTAAACTAATAGCAAATTTTTGAATTTTCCCAATTAAGCGTCCGCACCCGCAAAAACAAAATGTAAGACAGAACTTTGTCAACATAAGCAATATAACATTTGGGTTTTCTAGGATGAAAACACTTCTCAGTTTAGTATAATCATGCTTGAGGTTTGATGAGTACTCTGGGAACAATGGATGTACTCTGCTGAAGCTGTTGCTGACAAGAAACACTACTGCTTTCTAGTAGGCCTCAACTGAAACGAGCAATGGGGAAGGAAGCAAGATCAGAGAGACAATATTTGTAGAAACACATCTACTGTTTAACGTAGAAGCGGACAGAACTTTTTAATAATACATGGATATATGACTTGTAGTGAGATTTATAATACAGTTTGGGGAAAAAAGAATTGAGGGCATTAACCTGATTATTTACAGAACTGATATTACCAACAGTGATAATTACCCAAAGAAAAAGTGAGATCCGATTCCAGTTCATTTAATTTTTTCAAAAGTCCAGTGTTAATTTTCTCTGCTTCTTTCTCTTGTTTGTCATCATTCTTCCCATCACTGTTATACTCATACCTTTAAAATCAAGCCAGAGGACAGCAAGCCATTTTATTTTACAATACAAACAAAAACAGAACAAATCTGCACTTCTAACATCTTTCAACAATTTACCTACATGTACCGTAAACTTGTGTAGTGGGTGAAATTTGAATAGTGATAGCAACCAACCAAGTTGGAGAAAATTTGGTAATGTTTGCAGTTGAAGGAAAAGCATTTTTGGATACAGAAAAATTTCTTTAATAGCTTTTTGGAAGTATTGTATTGATAATGGTTCAGCTCTTTCTGACCACATAGGAACCTTAATGATAATGATCTCCAATATATGAGCAGCACTGTATTTGCCAAAAGAGACAAATAAGTTCTACTACTGATTAAAGATAAACTGACTGCAGTGGTAGGCTAAATACATAAGGTACACAGGTACATTAACGTTTACTACAAATGATCCACAATGCTCCTTAAATTCTACTTGTTAACTCAATTACTTTGGCAAACCAGGTCTTTAACTTCTAGGAAGTTCCAAACTCCTAAGTAATTTCACAAAATTCAGACATCCTCTCTTAAGGAAATTGCAGCTGTGCCATAAGCCAGATTTTGCTGGTCCAAAGGATCACTAGTGAAGACGGCACTTATTCTCTCTGCTGAAGGTACTGTCTATCCAAATATCTCTTGAAGTAAAGCTCAAACAATGTCATGTCTGGAGCTACCTAACACTTACCTTACAACACCTAGTCCTGGCCAGCTGAGGTCTTCAATATATGACAAGCCTACTGTTCTTTTCACTTCTTGCTCAAATTCCTCTCTTAGCTGCAGTGTGCATGTCAGTATTGATATCTTCATTTTCAAGCAGTCCACCAACTGATCTACATCTTGTACTTCAGTTCCTAAAACTGAAGAGCTAATGAATTAGCTTGGGAATTACTGAATTGACAGAGTTTTCATATGTTAGATACGGTAAGACAGGTGTCATGGTTACCTATATTTATAGATAACCCACTTTACAAGCCAATCCTAAATTAAATAATGTTCAAAAATCATATTATCTTAATCTGTATGCTGAAGGCCGTTTTTCTTCAGCTTGCCATTCACTGAAAACACTCAACACATCAAAATGGCTGGAGTCAAATATTAAGGAGAAAAAAATAAGCAAATTGTAATACCAATAAATTGATTTTCTGATATTCTAAAGTCATAATGGTAGTTAGCAACAGGAAATCCCTCCCTCTATAGCCAAAAGGTTACAAAAAAGATCAATCAGCTTCAGTTTTAATTACAAAGTTCAGAATCACCAACTAAGGTTACTCATTAAACTGGAATCCCTTGTTCGGTCATTTAATTTCTAATTTAAAAGTTCTTCCCAGTAGCTACCTCCATCTCTCTAACATCAGAGCCTACACCCTCTTCTAGGAGAGAGAGGGAAAAAGTTTTCTTTACAGTACTAACGAAAATAACCAAGCTTTAATGGATACTATTTTCTTCTTCCAATTAGTCTATTATATTCTAAACATGGGCTCAGTTCCTGTGTCTAATCATCTGAATAAGCAGGCCAAATTCTTCCTTCATTCTGTAAGTAGATGAGAGAGGGAAAGGCAAGGATATTTCATCTCCAATGTTTCTGTATTCTGACAGTTTAAGACAGGAATGTTACTCAGCTTCGTACCTTGTTCTCACCAGTAAATGTAGACAGTATAAAGTAAAAGGCTTTACAGATGTGGTGCGACATAATGCTATACAAGATGACAAAGCTACCGGAAATTCAGCTACTTCTAACGTAACTGCTACCAAGGCACAATAGAATATTGAAGTTGTTTTTGTAGTGTTAAAACAGCCTCTCAATATAAAAATAAGGAAAAAAGCAAAGCCAAGGAGAACAGATTTAAACATACAGATGTTTTACACATGCAGGATATTTACAATTTTAAATAGCAAATTCCAATTTTTTTCACCTCAGGATGAAATATCTATGTAAGTGGCTAAATTAAGTGACTCATTTACCTGCAGAAGTCATTAATGGGCTAAACCGTACACATGTGCCTTCATCTTCTAGTTCTACCACATCAACTCCACTGGCAGGCACTAACTGTGCCAACTGTTCACCTAGCTGAAGGGACAAGGCAAAATTAGAGGAATTTATTGAGCATTAATTTCTCATTATTGCCAACTTGTATTAGACTGTTCCCGTAGCTTCAACGAACCATTTGTCTGTTAAATTGTCCCTAGTAAGGGTTTTCTCTCTTTACTTCTTAAAAGTTAACTGTTCATTATTCCCTGAAGCACGGTAAAATTTTTGCTGTGAGCAAGCTCACAGCACCATCTATAAAACAAACAAAAAAGTTGCACACTTATATTAACAAAATGAAAACCTACTTCACAATTTCTAAGCAAACCACAAAATGTGTAATTTTTTCAGTGGTTATTGCAAGATGGTTACCGCCTCTCCCATAAAGCAGGAATATGTTTACTTCCAAAATAATGAGTTTAAAAACAAAATCATGCACTTTTGTTTATTTAAAAGTACATTTTAGTAGGAGTTCTACTAGTAGCAGTGGAGAAAAATACTGAAATTGCAGTATATAAAGGGAGGCTATCAGCCAGAAATCTACAAAAAAAAAAAAAAAAAAGTAAAAGTAGTTTCAGATACTTAAGCTGCCATTCAGTCCATTTGCCAATTTTTGTGATTTTACAATCACTTAACAAAAAAAACAAAACAAAAAAAGTTTCTCTCTCCCTGTTGCTCTGTAAAAATTTTACACTAACAAGGGCTGCTTAAGTAAATGCATCAAGTAAAACATAGAGGACTATCTGTCATCATCTTTTGGTCTTATTTGTAACAATAGTAGATAAAACAGTGTAATTTTTAAGTTGGCAGCTTCCTGTTAATACAACTAAGATTCACTGTTATTTATAATGGCAAGGTCTCTTTTCTGAAGATACCCAAATCCTTCATTCATAAAATCAGTTGCAAAGCCACAAAATTTCTGCTAATTCATGCCAGAAGTACTTTCTATTGTTTTTATTTTGAAGAAATTGTGTTTGCCAAGGATCTCTAAGTTGCATTTCATGCCACTCTTGACCCTGAGCATAAATGGGTTATGAAAAATTCAAAAGGAAGGTCGGCACCTGTTCAACCCACAGTAATGCTACATGCTGTCATCAATCTGTGGGATTACATGTTACGGAAACATGCAGCATAATTTCTCCTTTCTGCTGTCTTGTTTCTCATCTATTGTGTTTCCCAGCTTTGAAAGTTGTGTTTTAGCTCTGCCTCTTGACTTTCTAGTCCAACTAGATTTCCAGGTGGCTCAAAGCCTCAAAATGGTTAGGGAAACAACTGCAGGTGGGCAGTGGTCAAGGAAGGTCATGAGTACATAGAGGTGGAAGGAAAAAGTAACAGGTGGAAAGGTTCCTGAACGAAGTCCCCCTACATGTGTTCCATTGCATAGGATCCCTAACAGAACCTAAGGCTGCCCTTGTTATTGGGGTCACAAACAGGTTGGCAATGCATAACAGTTCAAATAATTATTAGAGTATGCATATTTTATGCAATTAGAGAGATGCATTTTCTTAACACATAATGCAAATGTTGCTCCCACTCTGAATGTGAGGGAAAAAAGAAGAGGCACACATGATTTCATATAAGGCAAGGCATGAATAAGGAAGTTGTTTTGGGTAGGGAAAGAGGGTCCTGACATTTGGTAGTCTTGCTTCCTGTGACGAAGTAGGGGATTTTCTTATCTTTTCGTGGTTTTCCAATGATTTGCATGCAGAGGGAGTGGGACTCAGTGCCCCTGGGTTTTACTGATTTAACGAGGTGAGGGGAGAGGGAGTTTGTTGTTGCAGAGGACCGGAGAGGGAACTTGGGACCCCAGCTGATGGCCTGGAGGAGGGACACCCCGGCGACTTGTGACCTGACGACCCTCACCGGAGACCCAGCTCAGGAGTCGCAGCCAGTTCTGGCCAGTGGGAGGACAATGGGCTGCGAAGAGAGGACCCCATGACCTAACCAGCCAGTTCCAGCCAGACGGGGGGGGAGGGGGGACGGAGAGGAGAGGAGGCCCAGAGAACCCTCTTTACCTGGAAAGAAGACAATGGACAGAGGCGGGGCCTGGGGCCGGTGATATCAGATGCCCAGCTGGGAAGCAGGGGGGCTCTGGCCTGGAGAGGGGGAGCAGGCAGAGCCCACCTGGATACAGGGGAGACTGTGCTGTGCTGAGGGAGGCCAGGCCTGAGGGTCAGAGGGTTTCCTGTGCTGTCTTCAGTCGCTCAATAAACCCTCCTGTTTTACGCTGGCTGAGAGTCACTCTGGTCTAGAGAACAGGGTTGCATCAACCCCTTCGGGGGGGGGGTGGAGGCCCCAGGGGTCCAAAGCGAGTGGACTCCCTGAGGGGGCCCATGGCGAGAGACAGATGTGCTAAGGCTCAGAGAGGTGCGGCTCCAGGAGGTGGAGGGGCCTGACCCCGAGAGAGAGTGGACCCCTGAGAAGGGCTGTCTCACTGAAAGGGGCACCCCGCACGGGGCCAAGAGTGGGCACGATCTGTGAGTCCGTGACACTTCCTCCTTCCTCTAGTGCTTGTATAATAAAAAGATTCATAAACCTAGACTGGAATAGGGAAGTAGATACAAAGTTTCTAAGGGCTTGTCTATACTTACGCGCTGGTTCGGCGGCAGGCAATCGAACCCAGAAGTGCTCGCCGTCGACTCCGGTAATCCTGCTCGGCGCGAGGAGTACGCGAAGTCGACGGGGGAGCCTGCCTGCCGCGGCTGGACCACGGTAAGTTCGAACTAAGGTACGTCGACTTCAGCTACGTTATTCACGTAGCTGAAGTTGCGTACCTTAGTTCGAATTGGGGGGTTAGTGTAGACCAGGCCTAAGATTGAGTGGAAACTGACATTTCAAATGGATGTCAAAAGTAAATCAGCTGATCTTGCTGTAGTTCTTGATGTGTCAAAATTACTAGTAAGCAGTTTAACACCTTAAATTTTAGCTTACTCCACTTCTGAGCAGTAGAAACCTAGACAGGTTTTTGTGGCAAGAGGGAAGAGACACTCACTCCTCTCCTAGGATATTGGACTCCCTAATACAGGACATCCCTCACCTCCCAGAAGTACCAACTTAAAATGGAGACATAACTGTTGCAAAGTGAAAGCAACATAACTCTCAGATCTGCCTTTTTTTTTTTTTTTTTTTTTTTAATGCCGGAGGAAAAACTAAATTTATTTAATCTCAGTAGCCTAAAGAAACAAAACACACACCTCTTGAGGTATGCAAGAATTAAGAGAATCATTGTTTTCATCATAATTATTTTGTACCTTAAAACATATGAAAGACACCAGGTTGTCAGTGCTTCAGACTAAAACCATCTTTTTTAATCCCAAAAACTCTGCAGGCTGATTTCACATAGGATACCAAATAGCCATTTGGTGGCAACTGTCACTACTGACCTAGTCTGTTCTAGGTTATATAATTCCCTGAGGCACCCAATCCTCCTCTGTTTTACAGAACATCCATTTTAGTTCTTAAGAGAAATGAACATCAAATCTTACCCACTGATTGAAGGTGTCACAAATATGTCTCTCATTGCTGGTTATAGGGTGTTGAATTATAGATGCCGGTCCAGCATGTAGCATCTGATCTGAACCCAAAGAGACAAAAATCGCAGAGACAGAGTTTCATTTATTTAACTAAAGCAAAAGGCAATTTTTTTAGACAAACAACATTTTTATGAAATTTTATGAAATCTAGGAAAATTAAACTCTATTTGACCTCAAAAGGGCAAATATGGGATTTAAAAAGATATCATTCCAAAAGCAATTATAGCATTGAAATGTATTTATTTCAACAATTTGTAATCACCTTCCATTGTCTCAATGCAATGGAACTCTGCAACAAGAGTACAATTAAAGAGGTGGTTCTAACCACTACTGTATAAACAAAACTTGTTTTATGTTCAGACTAATTAGAAAAAGTGCACAATGTAATGTACCTAATAAAACTAGCTTACTGAATTAATAGATGAAATCATCATGTTTTGTCTATAAGTTACACACCTATATTTGGAAGTTCTGGGGAAAACTTGAATACCACTACAGGAGAGCTAAATTCATCTTCAACCTAAAAATAGAATTAAAAAATCCATGTTGTTATGAAAACACTTAAAACAGCTTTATTGTTGTAGGTACAAAACTGACAGTAGAGACCACCACATCATTTGGTTTTGTCAGTATTAACAATGTTCTAGTTTCCGTAATGTTTTGACTCAGTACTAAAAAAATTAACTCATCATAAAACTTTGTGTAAATGATCTGGAAAAAGAGGGAAACAGTGAGGAAACAGACAATACAAAATTACTCAAGATAGTTAAGTCCAAAGCAGACTGCAAAGAGTTACAAAGGGATCTCACAAAACGGCAGATGAAATTCGATGTTGATAAGTGCAAAGTAATGCACATTGGAAAGCATAATCCCAACTACACATACAAAATGATGGAGGCTGAATTAGCTGTTACCACTCAAGAAAGAGATCTTGAAGTCATTGTGGATAGTTCTCTGAAAACTTCCACTGAATGTACAGCGGAAGTCAAAAAAGCAGAATATTAGGAACCATTAGGAAAGGGATAGATAATAAAAGACAGTAAATATGCCACTATATAAATCCATGGTACACTCAGACTTTGAATACTGCATGCAGTTCGGGTTGCCCCATCTCAAAAAAGACATGTATTAGAAATGGAAAAGGTACAGAGAAGGGCAAGAAAAATGATATGGAACAGCTTCCATATAAGGAGAAATTAAAGAGAATATTCAGCTTGAAAAAGTTGACTAAGGGGGGGATGTGACAGATCTGTAAAATCATAAATGGTGTGGAGAAAGTGAAAGTGTTATTTACCCATTCACATAACACAAGAACCATGGGTCACCAATGAAATTAATAGGTAGCAGGTTTAAAACAAAAGGAAGTACTACACACAATATGATCAAGCTGTGGTACTCGATGCCAGGGGATGTTGTGAAGCCCAAAAGTATGACTAGGTTCAGAAAAAGAACTAGATAAGTTAGATAGGTCCATCAATGGCTATTAGCCAAGATGGTCAGGGATGCAACCCCAAGTTCTGGGTGTCCCAAAGCCTCTGACTACCAGATGCCGGGACTAAACGATGAGGGATGGATCACTTGATAATTGCCCTGTTCTGTTCATTCCCTCTGACAGGTTAGAAGACAGGTTACTGGGCTAGTTGGACCAGTGGTCTAACCTAGTATAGCCACTCATATTCTCAATATATACACAAACATAGCAAAGTAAACTACCCCTCACATAAAAAGGGATTGTATTCTATTTCAGTTACACACAACTGAATTTTGGGCACTATAAAGTGAAAAATGTGAATACATTCACTGACAGGCATTTAATTTTTTTTTTTTAAATAGCTTTAATTTTCCTTGGTGCTCTATGAGCAAAGTTTCTTGCATAAATCTCTCTGAATAGATAATTGAGCTGTTCAATGACATAGTAGATGCTATCAAGAACATATACAGTGGGAAGGTGGAATGGCTACAGTGGATCTCCATAACTCACGAGTTCTAAAAGATTATTTTCACAAATGAAATTACTTTGTCACTCACAGTGATCTGTGGTCATTTGTTTTCCAAGAAAACTAGCATGAATACAGTATTTATTCTAATACACAAAGGGTCAGATCAATAAAAATATCTGTTGAATAGGGCATCTTTTCGACTGAAACTGGATTAGAAGCAGCTGCATTAAACATAACTAATTTAAAAACTAGAATGTTCAATTAAGAGCAGTGGGGTTTTTTTTTTTTTTTTTAAAACAAACATCACTCTCCTGTATCATAACACCCTCACAGCAGGACAACTACTTTGTCTACAGATATAAGAACATCCACACTATATCTACATCTGGCCAGGGTACTGCTAAATCCATAGTCAAGAATGAATTTCAAATATAAAAAAGTATAAAAGAATATTGAATAAGTTTTAATACATTAAGCGCTACTCAGCAACACAGAGGCAGCCTCTGAGCATTATATCCATAGCTTGAGTGTGTGTAGAGAGAAACAGCAACGGGACAAGGAATACAACCTAGGGACCAAGTCTTGCTATATGCAAATACATTTATGCAATTCCATTGACACTTTAAGGGGTAATTTCAGTAGTCAGAATACCACCACCACCACCAAGGCTGTGGGTAGGGTCACATTTTTTTTTTTTAAAGATAATTGGTTTCACAAAATTTTTGATATTTAATAACCACCAGTTGCTAAACTACTCCAAGTATTAAAGGCAGGTTGTACCGAAGTTTTAATGAAATCCATGTTCTTCAAGTTTTCCAGCAACCTCTGACTCTAAAGAACAAAGGATAAAAAAACAAAGATTTTTTGGTTTAAAATTACTTTTCACAGACAGAGACAACACTAACTCAACATCCATAAGTGTGAGCTTACATTTACAAAGTTTAAATTTAGGATGCTACAAACAAGAATCTCTGTCTAATTAATATTACCAATATCATGGAATTTTAACAGTATATTATTTAGGAAAATGGTTTATTGTAGGACTCAAACACGTGCATATATGTATACACCTAAGCTTCGTAGATAGATTATTTAGTCCGTTCAAAAGACAGTGGATGTATAAATTCCCACATACTAATGGGAGAGATTAGCACCTATGGACAACAGTCAGCCCTTGGGTGCTTGTATACAGCTCCCATTAACTTCAACTGGGAATCAAACACCTGAGAAGAATTAGCATCTATGTGAAGAAGGATTATAGTAATCTATTGGTTAGAGTTAAGGCTACGGTTTAGTCACAGGTATTTTTAGTAAAAGTCACGGACAGGTCATGGGCAGTAAACCAAAATTCACAGCCCATGACCTGTCCATGACTTACTATATACCCCTGACTAAAACCTGGGGGAGGGGCTGCCCGAGGGTACTCGGGAAGGGTAGGCTGGATGCTGGGGGTGGGGTGGGGAGCAGGCTGCAGGTCCCCCGCTGGCGCTGGGGGGGGGGGCACATGGCCAGCGGTGTGGGACCCCAGCCGGTGCTGGGGGGAGGAAGGGGGCAGGCAGTGGAACGTGGCCCGGGACCCCCGCTGGTGCTGGGGGTGGGGTGAGGGTAGCAGGCTCCCTACCTTGCTGTGCACCCACCTCCCACCCCCAGCAGCAGCAGAGTTTGGGTATGGGAGGGAGCAGGGGGTTGGGGCACGGGACAGGGTGAGACAGGCTCTGAGTGGCTCTTAACAGGAGGGGCTCCCCGGAAGCGGCGACATCCCCCTCGCTCAGGTCCTAGGCGGAGGTGTGGCCAGGCAGCTCTGTGTGCTTCCGCCACCCAGAGCGCTGGTTTCGCAGCTCTCATTGGCTGGGAACCTTGGCCAATAGGAGCTGCAGGGGTGGTGCCTGCAGATGGAGGCAGCACGCAGAGCTGCCTGGCCATGCCTCCGCCTAGGACCTGAGCGAGGGGAATGTCGCCGCTTCTGGGGAGCCCCCCAGGTAAGTGCCGCTCAGAGCCTGCCTCACCCTGTCCCGTGCCCCAATCCCCTGCCCCCTCCCACACCCAAACTCTGCTGCTGGGGGTGGGATGGGCGCGGTGGCCCGAGACTGCCCCAGCAGTGACCAGTGCAGGGACTGCCTGAGCTGCCCCTGAGCCAGGTGCACCAGCCACTGCAAAAAGTCAGGTAGGTCACGGTAAGGCACAGAATCCGTGACCAAGTTGTAGCCTTAGTTATGGTCAAATACTATACATGAGAGAGACGATCTCAGTTTTCACTGAAGAGCTATAACTTCCAAACAGTTCTTGCTACTGCATTTAAGAAACCCTCAGTACTTCCATTTGGAACCCCTTGTCTCAGTGATTTATAAATTACTACTTATTATTTGCATTACAGTAAGCCTACAGACTCCCATTGTGCTAGGCTCTGTACAAATACATAGTAAGAGACATTCTATACCCTGAGCAGCATACATTCGAAATAGAAAAGACAAAGGATGGGGGAAAGGAATAATTATCTTCATCTACTGATGGGGAATTGAGGCACAGAGATTAAGTGACTTGCCTAAGGTCACACAGGAAGTCTGTGGCATTGCCAGGCACTGAACCTTTTAAGTCCCAATCCAGTACATAAAACAAAAGGCCATCCTTCCTTTAAAAGTAAAAATACTCAAGGGCTGCCTTAAAGGTAAACTTTACAATTAATTTTAAAAATCTGATTTGATTCCATATTCTTGGTGTAAGTTTTCAGCATGAAAGGATCCCACTACATCTTTAGATTCCTTTAAATAGTTTTGATAACTAACAACTGCTTCTTAAACAATGTCCAACAACAACAAAAATGTAAAACCTATAAACGCCTATCTGGATCCCTTTCTAGTGGGCATATTAAGGCAATGCCTCATTGCAAAGAGTGGTGTTTTTTTACCTTGAGATAGCTATCTCAATGCAAAATCCTAGTGGAGACAGGACACGGTTAGTTTTTATCTCAGTGTACCTTGTCAAGGTCTACCCCTATACTCCTCATCTGGGTTTTTTACCTTGATGTAGCTAGTCAGGGTAAAAACTACCCGTGACCTGTATCCACTAGGATTTCACTTTGCAATTCCTAATTTCCCTCCCTCCCCGTAAAGAGGACATAGCCTAAAAAGAAGTGCCAATACTGTAGCTGTCAACATGGCTGGTCTTAGTATAGTATGCACTAATACAACACCTTCAGCATATTTGGCAACAATTCTCACTTTATTTCAGATCCGCTGCACCTGTTTTTGAGATGCTTCATCATATTCAGAGATTTATTTTAAAATGGTTATCAAAGTGGTCTTAAATAAAGAGGTGAGTATTTATATAGTGCTATTGATGCCCAGATGACAGTAACCAAATCAGACACTGCCATTTAAACTAACTTTCAGTCTGGAGAATGAACTTACTCAAGTAAGATGGTAGAAAGATCCTTAATAAGATCCCCCTGCCCACACTCAGAAAAGCAAAAGTTAGCACGTCATTTGAAGACGAACTACTTCTTACCAGCTGAGACGCATGCTTTATTCTCTCTACAATCCCATCATGTCCCAGGTACTGCAAGGATAGCCACAGGGGCAGGGCACGGAGTTTCTCTACTGGCTGACTTGATGTCAGGCCTGCAGCTAAGGACTAAAGGCAAGAAAGAATACGGTCATTGAATAACTAAAATTTCAACACAATCTGATTTATTCTAACGCTATGATAGCACAAAAACATATCACAACATTAACAGATGGATCTTTTGCAACTTATTGTTTATTTAGGCATCTATAAAGGAACAAAAGATCATGTCATGGTTGCAGTTTTAAAGTCTCTAGTATCTAAATATTCATTAAAAAAAAGTCAAAGCTACCAAAGAAGGATCCTCGTGTCTGTAGAGTGTCACTGCAGGTACTGCTGGGAGACCCAGCCAGGAACCCAGAGTAAGAGTCATGCTGTCACATTTTGTTGCAGCCTAAAGAGGAAACATTTAAGTTTATTATGGGCCACCTAAATTTTAATTATGTAACAACTTTAAAGTCTAGAGCATTATACTTATGACACACCAATACATACCAGTACTGAAGAGGAGACATAACCTAAAGCCAAAGTTGCCAAATTCACTCTGGAAAGGAAAACAGTTTTAGCTAAATTAATTATTTACAGCTTTTCTTCAACTAAAAGGTAGCATTTTAATCTTCATTTTAAATATTTCATGCGGTTGTATAAAAGGAAGACATTTTTGTTCATGTATTTTTATTGCACATAAAGTAGAAATTGCAATTTAATATTCCAGAATTCAGACAAACGAAAATTTCATTTTAGTCTAGATATCAGTCCAACTTTTTAGAGATATTAATCCATCCTGTGCTAATCATACTTCATCAGTAGGATTCTGTCAATAATTCACAGCGTGTCATAAATGTATGGTACACAACTGTGTACAGTGGTAGCTCAGGGCCAAATAGGTAACAGGCTCTGTCTGAGGGACTTGCAGGCTAAAAGCAGGGGCTCCTCTATTAACACTACTTATTCTGTTACTCCTGTTCTCAATCATGCTGCCTATTGCACCAGTTTTCTTAGCCACCACATGTCCTCTACTCCTCTAAATTTCATCTCTTCAAGCACTCCAGCCTCCCTTCACCTCTGCAATAATCCCTACTAACTGTTACCTTGTGTCTTGTCTCATTTAGATTCCAAGCACTTCAAAGCAGGGGCAGGTTACTCACATCCATATACTGACTCCATGCTGAGTAATTACATATACGCGAATAACCTTTTGCAACAAAACAGTGACATCTGCAGGGCTCTAAATTTTGTAGAGTGGCAAATTTATGTTGGCATATAAAACATTTAATAATGGCAAAACAGCTGTGGACATTAGAGCATGTTAGCTATGGAATTACAAGTTGCACCATTATCAGAAGTTTCATTAGTGAATATGATTACACAGAAAGAAGTCTCAAGTTCTGTACCCTTCTACATGTAGCCACATCTTATACTGCTCACAAAGTTCTTTCAGTCGCCCAAGCTTGTCCGTATGACCTGCTCCTGGTGTACCTGAATTGAAAGGGGGAAAAAAGTCACTTTAAATATCAAATGTGTAAGTCAGCAAACATATAAACTTTGATTGTGCGGTGTCTTTTTTCTTTTCATTAGAAATTCAAGTCTTATCTTCTTGATGGACTCATGAAGAAGTGGAGAGAGAGCTAGTGCAGTTATGACATTGGAAGTTCAACTTGATTGACTGAGAATGTGATTTTTATTCATAGTATTTAAAGCTCTGTGTTTTCTTATCTATTTAATTAAAAGTACTTGGGAGACTAGATGTCATAAGCATTCAAAAACTCAGCCATTTCTATTAAAAAAAGTTCAATACACCTAATTCATCAAAGAATGACCTCTGCCAAAATAAAGAAAACCCTTACTATTTCTAAAGGGAAAAAGCAAGCACAGCACTTCCTTCCCACCTCCACTTACAAAAAAAAAATAAAAATAAAAATAAACCTTTCCTCACTAAAGAGGAATTGAAACGTTTGCTCAATTATTCATTCAGAGAAAGTTAATGGCATGTACAACACCATAGAAAGGTTCTTGGTCAGCTTTAGAATCCCATTTTTCAAAAGCTAAGCTTTGCTCACTAAGGAACAAACTGTGGAGTCCTAAGTCATGCAAGCACGCCCGCTGACATAAATAGAACTACTTTTATGAGTAAGTTCTCATGAGTGTTAATAACGTTGTACAATCTGGTCCTAAGTCACTCCTTTAAATAACTTCTTGGACAGCTAAATATTATGCAGTCACTATGATATTCTGTATCAAGGAACAGATGATCTACTCTAACACAAGTCATCAATATTATCTACAATTCCAAGTTCTAAAAAATAAATACTAATTTTTCTAGGATACTGTTTTACTACTATCTGATCAAGATACTTACCAGCATTCGCCACTAGTAATAGTGGCAGCTTTCCAGAGTTAATATCATCTTTAATTAGTCTGTCCAATAAAGCAACATCCTGTCACCAATAAGAAAAAATATAAACACTGCATTAGACACACAGTACATAATATGTTCCTGTTGAACTGGAAAATTGGGGTTTCTAAAAGTAGCACAGAATAGTATCCTGACATTTTAAAAGCCTATCCACTGATTAAATTCTTAATACCTTCTTGTCTGAGTTTTCAATTTCCCCATTTCCACATAGCCCCAAAGACAAAAAAGGTCAAATACACCATAAATACACAGATAAAATAGGTGCTTTTAAATTCATTGAATTTACACTGGACATAATTCTACTAAAGAAACCTATTTAATTTATATTCTTCTTCTTAGGAAGCATGGACTCAACAGTACTTTCCAATGCTACAAGCGCAGAATGTCTTTCTATTGCCTTCAATGGGCATTATATTGGGTCATGGTATACTTAGGGTTCATCTTTCAACTCTAAAAATCAGACTTTTGTAACACAAACTTCCATGGACTTTTATCTGTGTGAATCTATTAAAACACAAGGAAAAGTTTAATAATTCATCACAATGTCATACACAGCAACAAAAAAGTTTAGTGTTCAAGCCTAAACTTCTCCTTTAAAAATTTATCTTCGAGGGTCTACATATTTCCAGAGTCTCAAACTAGAAAGCCCTTACTGACTGCACCAAAATACACACTGCAGATAATAAGTACAGAGTTCAGGATACAAGTGCTACACGTATTTCTGATTGATTACTTTTAAGAGAATAAGGCCAATTAATAGCCAATGTTCTGTTACATCTACACCGAGAAAGCTCAGAGGATGAAAAAGTCGAACATTCACCACTCTTTCCTAACAACATTCTCAAATCATTCCTTAATAAGTGTTCTGCAAAGCAAAAAGAAAAGGTCAGTTTAAAAAGACAATGCCCAAAACTTACCATCTGATGTTGGGATCCAAACATGGTGTTACAAGGCACGCGGCACATGCATGAAAGGGGCAACCCAAGCTGCAACGAGAAAGATGGAATTTGAACAACTCACACATGATTTATGTTACTCATTTAAACTGCTCACAGAACTACAAGGAGGAATCAAAAAAAAGCCATTGAAAGAAGCAAACACATAGTGACAGAGGCTCTGCTACCAAGTGATTTTCCTTGCATTTTAAAAATGAGTTTTCTGCTAGAAATTCTGATCAGACTAAGAGTGGAGAAAAGGAAGAGAGTGAGACCACTGTAAAGTAACAAAAAAGTTGTAAAACAACAGTTAGCTTTTAACATGAGTAAGGGGAAGTAGACAATAAGTCAAACCTGGACATTTTTCAGAGTTTGTATCTTGTCTGCAGGACTGCACTACAAGTGGGCACAGATAAAACACTAATCTTCACCAAGGAAATGAGGCTGCTCACAATGGACTCAATCCTGCTCAGTCCAGAGCACTTTGGCCTTAATCCAGCAAACATTTAAGCACATGAGTAGGCCTATTGAAGGTGTATAATATATTCACTTATGCAAAATTATTATTGCATAGTAGAGAGTTAAGACAAGACATTTTCATACAATTTATGCGATATATTGAATATATTTTTACAACATGCTGTTGTATATAATGTTGGCCTTTTTTCAAAGATTAAATTTAAAAACCACAATTTCTCTTATTCAGGACCTATCTACAAGCTTGCTATTCCAAGTAAAAATTCAGATTTTTTTTCAAAGAACTTGGATGCAGAAAAATATTCCTAAGAAAAAGTAAAGTTCAACAGTAAATTGAGACATCTTTCAGTAATGCTTTAGTGATAATACCATTTCAAACAAGAAGCTTGTCATGCAAAAGAAAATGATTATTATACTGAAATGTCTACATGAAACCAGGAACAATCACCCTTAATAAAATATCAGATGCAATTGTTTCATATGAAAAGTTCAGAAAATTCCTATCTACAACTCTCACATCATCACTGCTGGAATATACAAACTGTGTGCAATCAGAAAACATCATCTTGCTGTCCAGATGAATATTGTAAACTAGAACCCTATAGCTCCATTCTGGGCTATTTTAGTTTATTCCCAATATGTTTATGTTCTTTTTTATGTTTTGGAATTGCTTTGGAATCTTATAATTAATAAAACAGTCTTACAAACTGTAACATTATGTTTTATTATTGTTTTTGCAGATTTTTTGGTTGGCTTCAGGGCATGGTTTCTCCTCCTTCCTTGGCTGGCTTCAGGACAATCTTATTTGTGATTTTCATTGTTTATTCATACATCAGTTATTACTAACTTTGATTAAAAGATAAAATTTAGAAGCGTCAAGGAAGTTGTGCTTAAAAAACTAAAAAAAAATTGGACCATTAGGACAGTACAAGAAAACTTAAGTTCAGTGTGCGCGTACACACACACAAACTTAAAACAAAAAAAATTCTAGAAACGCTATTTCTTCCACAAGCTGGGAAGAAAGAGAGAGGGAGAAGGGTATTTCTGTTATTTAACAACTGGGAAGAAGCTCAGATACCAAGATGATGAGGGCCATGTGAATGCACAAATAGCACTGTTGCAGACACAGCATGCTCAGCCACCTGAGAGTCAGAGAACCTCACTTCGCTCAAAAAGATCCTCTCTGGTTGACAGAGTATCACTGGCAAACTGAGTAAAGCCCCATTGAGAGGTCAGCAGTGGATGCTCTAGAATGGAGATAAATGAAGGACCTTCTAGTTACAACAGGGATGGAAAGGCAATCCTCCACCCACTCATTACTCACCCGCAACAACCCACACAAAAAGTGTGCTGCTTCTGCAATGTACCAGTCTCTAACTGTGAACCTCTAGATCCATTCTCAAAATCTAGCTAGGCTGCCACGAGGCATGATGATGCCTGCAAGTTTCTATATGCAGCAAAGACTCAAAACTTTACACTAAAACTACTTACCTGATTGCAGAGAGTTTGGCCCAAGCCTGTTCTGGCTGCAGAACTAATGTATATAACAGGCTGCTTATTATATAACACATTGAATCCTTCTACTGTGTAGTCTTCGTAGCAAGAGTGAATAACAAGCCTACAGACTTTTAAGAGACCTTCACGATCATCTTCATGGTAATAAGCTGACCCATTTTCATACCTGTAAGACAAACCAACAGAAACAGTCCCAGTTTAGTTAGTGTGTGTAAATACTGAGCAGTTATAAAAGTGCTTTCTATCTCAGGCTATGTCTACACTACCGCAGTAAGTCGACGTACCTTAGGTCGAGTTACCGCGGGGTCTACATCGTGGGGGTGGGTGTCGACGGGAGAAAAATCTCCCATCGACTTATCTTACTCTTCTTGTCGGGAGTAGAGTACAGGGGTTGACTGGAGAGTGATCTGCTGTCGATTTGGCGGGTCTTTACTAGACCCGCTAAATCAACTGCCGGTGCATTGATCTCAGAGCGTAGATCCCTGCAGTAGCGTAGACCTGCCCTCAGATACTCTATGAAGAGGTACATCAGTATAATCATTGGGCATATGAAACTGAGGCACAGAAAGGCTAAGTACGCTGCCCAAGACCAGAGTCAAAATTAGACCTCAGGAACTCCTTGCTTCCAATCTTCTGCTTTGTCTCTGCTATATTATATTTATTGGTTTAAATAGCATCTGAAACAAAAGTATCTAAGTGCTGTTATATGTTAGTATGTTCTGGCTCCTCATTAAATTAGAAGCTCTATCCAACCCCAGAACATTACAAATAAAACAAAGCCAAGATAGAAATCAGATGAAGGGCAAATCATTAATTCTAGTTTTATAAGGTTTTAATTTGATCTCCCGCATCCAGTCCAGAGACACGTTATTATATCACAGGAGTTTGTGACTCCAGGAAACAAAGATTATGAAAAAAGATTCAGAGGATCATGGTTCTGACACGAATAGTGGAAGTGACCTTTGGAGAGCTAAAGAGAGGGTAAAGGAAAAAAGAAAAAAAAAATGTATTAAGATAAGGGAGAGCACAGTAAACACAAACCGAGATTAGTAACTATGAAAGCTTACTTTACATTCTATTTCTATTTACAGTTACAACAAAGTAGATATGGGGACTTGGGCAAGAAAACCGCTCTTTAAAATCCTCAAAGTTTGCAAAAATATTTTCTCAGACTTATATGCACTGAGTGAAACCACCAGATCATAAAATGTAGATGGAAACATTTGAGGAACAGGAAAGATTTTTCACTTTTAAAAAACTCCATTATAAAATTAACCTCAGCAAGTGGGTATGGCTCACATCTGTAAGAATCATAAGAGTCAGTGAGGAGGATGCAATATGATGCGGTTTCAAAGCACAATATTGTAAATCAAGAGTGAAATAGATTTTTTTTTAAAATAGAGTTAAACGTGGACAGGATCTCGCAGACTTTAGTACGAAGCCACTACCAAACAAATCCATAATAGCCAACGTTACTCATATCCTATTTTAACACTCCTTGAAATACAAACAAACAGACTGCCATTTAGTGCAATTTATTTAGTACACTGCCATGTCTACTGCCTAGGAAGTTGGACTACTGGACTACAAATCTGTACAAGCAGTTAATTTGTTTTTATCTCTCTGAACGAAAGATTTCGGCTTCAGCGGTGATATGCACACTAATGTTTAAAAGCCAAGAAGAGACAATAATGGAATTAGGTATCTAATAAAGGTCTGACAGTTCCAGTGTAAAGAAATATAGCCACCTAACTAAAATGAAGGAACAACAAGAGGAAGAGTAGTACAGGTCAGGATTTATTAAGTGACAAGGAAGTTGGAGTTTTGCTACATCATTTATGTCCAACATGTACATCAATAGTCCTGAAAAACCTAAGAGTCGCTCAGTCCATCCCTCAGCTTAAATTTTTTTAAATCCTGCAGCATCCAGCCTCACCATAAATTACCCAAATGACTGACATTCCATCATGCTTTATGGTAGCCATGAAACCTTTTTGGAGCTGAACTATAAGGTAAGCTAAACGTATTTTTAGAAACATTTTAAAAATTATTCATAGACTCTTTGGGATATATCATATAAATGCAGTTGTAAAACCAAATATACCACTCATCTTACCCTACACACCTGTTCCAAGGTCCAGCAGGTATTCACGCTTGATGTGAAATCACTGCTAACATGCATATTAGGTGTCAGAATGGGACCAACTGCTCCTCTAAGACTGGGTATTAGGACCATCAATACATAAACTGTCAAATAGATGGATTTTTGCTTAACCCATCTGCATCTCATCTTTGAGCCATGAAACCTAGCCTCATATCCTTGTAAGGTTTCAAAAACTTTTTAAGTCATACAAGAGTTTACTAAATAGCTAAATACAGATATTCATTCATCTTATGTTCTACCAACTAGAGAATGCTGATTATATTGGCTCTACAGAAGGTCCATTTGTCACTGTACGCAGCTAAAACAAGCCTTCATTTATCATCTATAGATGGGGATAATTTGTACCTTTAATAGCTCTATGGCTGGGTCAGTTTTAGTTATTTCCTTTATCGCTTCATTGGTTAATTTAATGAAAAGCCCATGCCTCATTCCTTCCTCCTACAGGAAGGCTCAAATGATTTGATATTGAGACATCTAATGGACAATATATTCTTTTCACATAAGACTAAGATTCCCATCAGGAGCCCCCAAAACCTAAAGAAACGTCGTGATATTAAAGTGAAACAGTTCCTGACTAAATTTGTCTTAAGTTAAAGCTCCCTTCAGATTCTTGGTGTGTGTTCATATAAAAGCCCTTAGTATCATTAATTTCCCCTCCCCTTGCTGCCTTGGCTTTAATAGTACTGAATACTTTAAAACTCAGTTTGCAGACACTCATGGCTAATCACACCTCTGTGTAAATCCGCTTTGTTGTACCATTTGTCTTTGTCAGCGCTCTAGACTATAATCCTATCAGGACAGAGACCAGTTATGAGTTTGTCACTGACCATCCACTGCATACAGCATATAATAGCCATATACTACAATAGCCAGTGCTTTCATGGCAGGGGACTGGAGCCAGTCAACATAATATTCTGTCCAGGGTCCCACTGAACACCATGTGGTATCCCTATTACCCTTCCTGCTGTCTGCAAATTAACATCCTGTATTTTACATCATGTCCAAACCATGTTAGTCCAGGGTTAGTCATTCAACCCAGGTCTCAAGAACTGCGGGGATAGGGAATACCTCTAGATTACCATTAAATGAGATATCAGTGAAGCTTTGTCCCACCCAAAAGTTATTTCTTTACCAAATGGGAACTATTTCCCATCTTAGCAGCAGCCAGATTTCATTTTAATCTGCAAGTCAGCCAGCTCTGGCACCAGAAATGCATTGTTTTCACATACATTATAGCATATCTCAAGACTAAGGCACTTTGAGTAAGAATCTTACATGAAATTAAGCCATACAAGGAAATAACCTAGCTGTTTGACTAAGCTTCTTTTCACCTGAAATATTTCTTGTACTTTTCTTTCCCCTCCAGTGCTGGATCTAAATTACAAGTTCAGGTAGACCTTCAGGAAATATATTTGCTACAATGAAAATTCTTCAGCTGTTCTATACATAAAGACTAAACGAAGTCTAAGGCAGAACCAATGAGAGGTTCGCTGGAAGACCTCTTTTAAAAGCGCTTAAAGGCTCAACAGCATATATATGCTTATATAAATGGATATTCAACCATCTGTCTACCCACTATTGTACTTTGGCCCCTAACTCCATTGTAAATTCCTTATAAAAAACCACTTTTATGACTGGTATATTATTGACAAGTTCTTGGCTTTCAAGAACAGTATCCTGTAAATAAGTGTGCTGTATTTAAGATCTTTCACCGTACCATTAATTTAAGGCATAAGGCTATCAAGATAACAAATCGTACTTCAGACTTTTTTTTAAAAACTATTTTTACTACGCAACTGTACATAATAAATAAGCAATTCATGACTTACCTGAAGAGTCTGCAAAGCCACAGAGTGGTGTCCGAAAGGATTCTAGTTGTAAGATTTCTCAGCCTTTCCCTGTTCAGCACTGAAATATAAGCTGCCAGACTATGTCCCAGTAAAGCCATGTGACCTTGTTCTCCAACATTCTGAAGTCTGCAAACCAGAAACATCGTATGAGAATAACTGTCAGCTTGATGCATGTCATGCATATTTATAATGGGTTTATGTTTTCTCTTTTTACTGGATATGCCCAGAATGTCATAGAACTGGTTAAGATGCAATATTTTCTTCAACTATATATCAGAATGAAGTATAAAAGAGCCATGTCTACACTAGGAGAAAAGGTGAATTTTAACACATTAATTAACATGTTAAAATCAGTGTAGACACGGCAGTTGTAGTTTAGACACCTTTTAGCTGCTTGAGATAAACTCTATACTCCTTTTTAGGGCTTATCTCAACCTACTAACATATTAAAACTGCAACTACCCTTTTACAATATGATTTTAGTGTGCATTAAACATATGCCTAGGCCTGGTATATACAAAAAAAGAAAGCAGACGCTATGAAACTTGGAAGTTTAGACTAGATCTTTTCTCATAACTATTATTTATATAACATTTTAAATCTTCAAACAGTTTTGCAAATATTGATCTTCCACACTCCTGTGCAGGTAGGGAGTCTAGTAGTATCACTATTTTATGGAGAAATGGAAGGAGAGAGGTTAAATGTATTGCCCAAGGCTACAAATAAGTCAGTACCAGAGTAAGGATTAGAATTCAGTGACTCCCATTTCCAGGCTCAGACTACCCCACTTTAAAAAAAAAAATCCATATGCAGAAATACTATGCAACTTGTAATTTACAACTATACTATATCTGATGCAACTAAAAATTCTGAAGGCAAGTCAAAAAATTAGACTTCCACAGAATGCAGGCAGCATAAGCAATGCTCAGAAAGTTGAGGACAATTTAAAGAAATTGAGTTGTCAGCCAGGAATAATTCCCTGCTATACACAACTGCTTTTAATAATTCACTGCAGTAAAGTGTATGGCTATTTTGAGGAAAACATTACCACGAAGTCATCGATAGTTACATAATTTCAACCCAATTTCAATTTGCTATCAGGACTATTAAAAAAATTCCTATTAGGTATGTTCCACATTTTACTTTTTCTCCTGGTTCAGTGTATAATGTAACAAAGGTTTAGTTAAAACACCTTACACTGTTGCAAATTTAAAATTAATAAAAAAAATCTGTAAGTACAATTTGTGGCTTCAAAAATTATCACAGCAAATATAGTTATCAAGTTATAATCTTCCAAATAGAACAATGCAATTTAGCATTACCGGTAAGACTGTGATGACTCATCTTCCTCCTCTCCATGCATGAGGTTCTGTACTAATTGGAGAATGCTCACCATATCTTGCCCACTAGGAAAGGAAAAATGGTAAGTAGATGAGCAACTCTAGTGCCTCAGGATACAGATTCTAAAGGCCACTTACAACAGTTTTGCAACAAGACACAAGGGTTTTGCTCTGTAGAATTTTGGGATGGTGGGGAAAAGTTGTCAGTGGAGGAGTCTACTACTGACCTCCCTGACACAGCAGGACCGTAGTGGGAAGGCTGCTGTATCAATGAGTCCAGATCCTCTTGACTTATGCATGGGGCATTTCAACAGGCCTAAGGAACTGGCCCACATAGAGGCTCCCTTGAAATCTGAGGATTTGGACTGACAAGCTTGACTAAGCAATCGTTCAGCCCTGGAGTGCTGGATTGTAGGTGAAGACCTTGCCAGTAGATGTCCAAACTCAGAGGATCCAATCATGAGCTCACAAAGTTGAGCACATCTCTCAGTAATATGATTATCTCTAAAATATACTGATTACTTACAAACATCTGTTCTAGTGAACAGAAAGTGTTTCTTGAAACCATTTCTGGAACTATGCTGCCTTACAACTGCTAGAAGTGCAAAAATAAAAGCCACCACACACCGACCCAACTTGAAATAGTATCAAATTAAAACCTATATTAATAAAATGAAAAATAATGAAAGTATAGAAGAGGTAACAGTTACACTAATAAAAAGCATTCCCAACTTCTTACAAGTCTGTTTAACTTCATCGATTCATACCAGTTTCATTAACTTCCAAGAAAGACAAGTTTTTTTTAAATGAAAACAAGTTGTGTGTTCACAATATTCTTCTGCTGTTAAACCCATGTTAAATTAGAATGGAAACTGAATTGCAGTCTTAGTTTGGGCTCATGAATGATCTTGCAGAAGAAAGATTATGACAATGCAAGTCTGAATCTTATTTTTCAGATGCAATAGTCAATTTAATGCACAAATCATAGCACGTAAACTTTCAGGTTGTTAAGTTGAGTGATGTATAGTTTTCTGTGAAGGCCAATCATATTCCTAAACATGGTGCTTTGTGCCTCACATAGTGTGGAATATCATTCTCAAGTACGAATTTCCTGTCTGAATGTGTGTCTCAAACTCATTGAATGCAATATTTCAGATTTAAAAGTAAATCTACATAAAAATTATGCTATATAATAAAGACATAAATCTCCATTAAATTATCTTCTCTAAGGCTTTATTAGAACTCAAGAAGAGCTCTATGTAGCTTGAAAGTTTGTCTCTTTCACCAACAGAAATTGGTTCAATGCAAGACATTACCTCACCTACCTTATCTCTAATATCCTGGGATCAACACAACTACAACATTGCAAACAACTAATGCTTCATTAGCTACCAGTGAAAAAATCCTACTCACAAAGGGCAAGTAATTTTTTTGATCCATAAATAAAATATATCAATCGTGGGCATAGTCAGGAGACCAGATTTTGTGGCAGGACAGGTAAATTTTCATGATAGTATATATTATAAGTTCCTTGCAAAATTATTGCAAACATGTTTTATTTAAGAGTTTGTACACTGAATATGAAGAACATATTGTCACCTACCTCCCTTGGAGTGGTCCAGGAATATCGTTCCTTACATACTTCTTTTCATTTTCTTCCTCAATTTTTCTAATTTAAAAATACAAGAAAGAGTTACTTACATTTTAACTTTTTGTTGCATAGTAACAAATTCCTAGTGCAGTTCAATGCTCAAAAATACATTGGCATGTTCACAAGTGACAAAAATCACTGAATACAATTTGAATAGATCAACAAGACTAATATATGATTTAATTAAGGATGGCCTTAAAGAGTTGTTGATTTGACTTTCCTTTGATTAAGAAGAAAAAAAAACTTTAAAACTATGCTTTATAAGGCTGGTGAAAACCTTTATCAGCAGATCATGTGAGATGGAAGTAAAAGTTACTTGTGGAGCCATGATTCACATGCTAAGAGCAAGTCAAAGCCTTTAGAAAATGTGTCCTGGTTGGATTTAGACTGAATGCTACAAAATATGTATTGGATTGGCCCCGCAAATATTCATTAATAACAAACACCCTCAGTCAAGAAACATTCTTGATTTGAATATGGCAGAAATTAAGTATGAATATCTGATAATGATTGGTCCTAGAATTAGTAGAAAAAAACCCATTCCACTTGCTTGAAGACATTGGCATCAATATCTACATGTGTAACATGTATCTGCTGTGCTTGCAGCCATTATTCTTTGTAGATACCTTTGATTGTCTTCCAGCATCTTCATGGCCTCATTAAGATTCTTTCCCATTTCTGCTAAGGAAGGGAAAACAATCAATAATTGGGGAAAAAAAAAAAAAAAAAAAAAAAGTAATCCCAAATGCCACTCTTACTAACTACTCTAACAGTATAATTATTGCTTTTACCACTCAGAATAAGCTCAGATTTAAAGTTACATACCGGTAACAAATATCAAGTACTGCATCTTCAACTCAAAATATACTAAATTAATAAATATTTGTGTATTGAAGTAAAAAATACTGGATAGCAACATGGATTTTATTACAGATACACCTCTACCCCGATACAACGCGAATTCGGATATAACGCAGTAAAGCAGTGCTCCGGGGGGGCGGGGCTGCGCACTCTGGCGGATCAAAGCAAGTTCCATATAACGCGGTTTCACCTATAATGCGGTAAGATTTTTTGGCTCCCGAGGACAGCGTTATATCGGGGCAGAGGTGTAGATCCAGAGCAAACCTCTCTTCAACAAGCAAACCAAAGCTCATTCCAAACACTTAAATTTGCAGGTTGTGTCTTTTGGGGTGGGGAGGAAGGAATGGAGCAAGAAGAGGCAGCAGAGGGAGGAGGCTAGTTTGAAATCCAGATTGAAAAAACTTCAGGAAAGTTAATGGTGTTCAAATTAGGCCCACTACATATAGCTTGGATCTGCAAATTCATCTCTGTGGTACGCTTCAGTCCCAACTGCAGCTATTATTCACAGTCATTCTGTAGCCCCAGGAACCTCTCACTTACAACTTCTAGGAACCGGTGTATGTAAAGTAAAAATATAAGCCTTTGCAAGATCATATAATTTACAGAAAAATGACTATATGTAGAATTTATACAATATCGTGTTGAAAAATCCTGATAAGGGATATGCATCATAAAATTTCTGCAAAATCTGGGATATAAGCTAGAGTGACAAATTCAGCTTAGTTTCAGATACACAGGCTCTCACCCTCACCAAAAACTAATGATACAACAGTGAAGGGTTCAGAGCAACAGGAAGAAGGAATAGAGGAATCAGAGACATAACATTGGATATATGAACATTATCCCTAGCAAAAGGAAACTTTCCTCCTCCGAAGGCCCCAAATACTAAAAGTTTTGGTAAGTGACTGAAAACCTGACTGTAGTGTTTCACTTCAACTTCAGTAAAAAAAAAAATGTATACACACACACACACACACACACACAGTATGCAATGTAATCTTATTCATATATTTAGATTAAGGGCCTCTCAGTTTAACTCTCAAACATGCTTAAGCTATCAGTTATAGGGGAAGTCGAAAACAAGAGGCTAAACTTTTATATTAATTTTAACAACTGTAAAGAGAAAGGAAGTTTCAATTTAAGGCTGTCACTCTGTCCTTAAGTTCACACTATGGCTCAAAAGCCTTACAACACAAATCTGAAAGATTATAGTATCATTCAACTTAGCCTTTTGTGCCTCTATACTACCCTAATTTTCAAAACAGACTAACAACCTTTACTCTATTTCCTTGCATTTTTTAACATGATATACTCTTAACCTGATTTTCAATGCTGATTTAGGTAGGAGATTTTCCCTCTAATTGACAAAGGCTGAGAACTTGTTACATCTTCGTATGGTCCAACCAAGACTAGTAGTATTACCAGAGTGGTCTCATCCTCCAACAGTTGTAATTATACTCTTCCTCCTACCAGAACAGGCAAATAGTCTCTAAAAAGCCTGAACTTGTTGCATGAATTAGCCTACAATGGATGTTTGTGGAAGGGCTTGTCACAGAGTGTAAAGGCCCTCCAAGGATACATGTACCCTGCAACTGCGAATGAACTTCCCAGCCTAAGCAAACAGACTTGCACTAGCATGCTAAAAATAGCTATGTGGACGTTAAAGCACCAGCAGAGACTTGGGCTAGCCAAACAAGCTCCACCAGTGCTGCAAAGTCCACACAGCTATTTTTTAGTGCACCAGCATGAGCCCAACTAGCATAAATCAGTTTATCTGGGCTGGGAAGCTCGCTCCCAGCTGCAATGTAAACATAGCCCAAATTCCTTAGGATTATAGTCCCTACCTGTGACTAGCCAGTTGCCTCCTGCCTGATGAGATAAAAGGCCAACAAGCAGCTTAATTAAGGATGGGATTGGGGAAGCTCTTGCAGGAGACTCTGGGTCAGAAAAAGGTGCTGAAAGGGGGCTTCCCACACCAGCTAGCAGCAGCGGCAGAGGCCCGAGGACTAGCCAGGTGGCAGGACCTGTTCTGATTGATGCCAAACTGTGTTTCTTTTTGAACCATATATGCATCCCTGGGAAAAGGGAAGGAAACACTGACACTGGTGGAAGCAGCTACCCAAATTACATGAGCTGGGAAATTGAGGCAGAGACCGGTTTTGATGCCGAGCTTGGGGAGATCCTGTTACAGGGGCTCTCTCCTTTCCTCTGCAGACCAAACTTATCAACCCCCATCCCCACCCTCCCAAAAATAGGCAAAAGCTGCATCATCTAAAAACTGAGATTTAGTCCACCTTCACAGAATTGGTCTTGAGCTCAAAGCTTCCACCACTGCAGTAGTTTAGCCTTCAACATATTTGTCCACCATTTTTTATCTAGAGGTATTAAAAAAAAAAAAAAATAACCAACAACAACAAAACACCTTGTACTAATAGTACTGTAGGGATATACTGACTCTTACTCTTTTGCTACAGTAGCTGAGAAACAGTACTCCCACTGGCTTGTATATGCCTGCCGTCACCACTAATACTGGCACACTTGGGTGGGGGAAGGAGAACAGAATGCAGGCATGTTTATTACTGCAAAAGATGGATGGAATATGAATTTGTATGTATTGTATGCCATTTCCTTCTCAAGGACTAACTCAGAAAAAATTCAGTTTACAATTCGCATTTTAAAGACTACTTTTATGACAATATTTAGAGATGTATTTAACCCATGTATGTGGAGGCAAGGAGTGAATGGTGGAGTGGGTAGAAGACGCCACACTTATAAAAATGAAATGAAAGTTCCAAAAATTTTATCACGGAAATAGCAACTGACACATAATTATAGGTTGACATTCAAAACATCAGAGTGTCCATTTGTAGTCAAGTTTTTAAGATAACATTAATGGATGGGAATATGAGAGTCACCATAGAGAAACAAAAATTTAATCCAGTTATGCTATTTATATTTACTGGTAAAATCTCCATGCAGTTCCACTGATGTTTTCATAGCATTCCTTGCACCAAATCCAAAACTTTTGCAGCGATCTCGGACACTTAAATAAAATAACCTCCAAATCCATGAGTGAATATTTATGAAGAGTAATTGACTGAAGAATATTCTTGATTATAGAAGCCTATATATTGGAGTCATGAAAGCCTGAGTGGCATTCACAAAACATTAAAAATACCTCACTGGAAGGAAATAATTTGTGTTAAACAACATTAGAAATCTTTTTCTGGCATTGCATGCAAAATACTTGAACAGATCTGTCCTGAATGGTGACATTTGTGGAATGATCTGTAACAGCCATTGTGATACTGAGCTATAAACAAACAAAACAGCTCACAATTTCTCTGTTGCAATTATGTGTTAAGTAAAAACTTACCAATGTTTACCTTTCCACCTAAACACAAACACATTGTCTTTTTTTCAACTATAGCTATCATATATGCAAGCCTTTTGCCAGTACAACTAGTAGATTATGTAGCCAGTGAAGTCTTGTTTGCTCCAGCTACTTTTCTGTCATCATGAAATAAAAAAGTTATTCTAAGTTACATGAGATGTCGTAAAATCCAAAAAGCCTTTGATTTTTGAAGTGGACTTCATTGTGAACTAAATCCCTGATTGCTTATTTTGATTGCTAATTGGATAAGAAATATTTATTTTCTGAACTTTTCAAAGTATATTTAAGGTATGTGATTTTAACAATACAAACTTAGATTAAAAATTAAAGAAAGTTAGTCAATTATGATTCAGAAAAATCAAGCATAATTCCCTACCAATGACACTGAAACCACATCCAGTGATGACATTCCTTATCCCCACTCTCCAACATGGGCGAGCGTGTCCTCTAACAGAGGATGGGACTGGAAGTAAGCCCAGCATGGGCTCTTTTCTTTAGTCCGACACAGATTGACTACAGGCTTCATCCAAAGCCCACTGAAGTCAGAGTCTCTTTCCACTAATTTCATGTGTGACCTTGTGCAAGATACTTCTGTTCCTCAGTTTCCCCATACATAAAATGGGTATAATATTTATCTCACAGGGATCTTAATTACTGTTTGTAAAGTGCTTCAGGGTCCTCTGATGGAAGGGAAAGTTATCCTGTACAGTAAGGATGGGCTCCACCTAAATCAAAACGGAACCAGACTGCTGGCATGTAAAATTAAAAAGGTTGTAGAAGATTTTTTAAACTAAGGGCTGGCAGAAGTGTTGACAGGTGTGAAGGAGCACACGGTTTGAGTGCAGCCATCCCTCAGGGATCAATTTATTAAAGGGGGAACTCTATATCCTTGTGAAGGGGATAGGAAAGAAGTTGATAAAGTACAGGTAGGAGCTAGTAATGAACAGTTATATATTATAGACTTATAGAAAGAGACCTTCTGAAAACATTAATATGTATTACTGGCACGCGAAACCTTAAATCAGAGTGAATAAATGAAGACTCAGCACACCACTTCTGAAAGGTTGCCGACCCCACAGCCAAAGCGAATAGGGAAGTGTTATTTACCCCTCCACACAACACAAGAAATAGAGGTCACCCAATGAAATTGTTTTAAACCTGTTGCCTACTAAACAAAAAAAAGCACTTTTTCACACAATGCACAATCAGCCTGTGGAACTCATTGCCAGGAGATGTTGTGAATGCCAGAAATATAATGGGGTTAAAAAAAAAATTAGTTAAGTTCAGGGAGGATAGGTCAATCAATACCTATTATCCAAGATGGTCAGGGACACAACTCCATGCTCTGGATGTCCCTAACCCTCCGACTGCCCGAAGCTGGGACTGGACAACAGGGGGTGGATCACTTGATTGCCTGTTCTGTTGATTCCCTCTGAAGCACCTGGCATTGG